CAAGGCACTACTTCTACAGCCCCCCCTCCCCCCCCTCTACAATCAGGTTATGTCACCCCTACATTATTATATAGATAATAGAGGGTTGGGGTGAATATCTTCCCAGATGGGCTCGGGGGATTAAAAAAAAAGGATTAAACTTTTTGATAGAGGAATGTGTGAGACATATACACACACACACACTTACAGGTCAAATACTATGTAACTCGAATAATTAGAATATCGTGCAAAAGTAATGGCAGTAAGTGCTGCAAAAGGGGCCCAAACCAAGTACTGAGTACATACGCATGCTGGTACTTCTCAGAGGTCCGATATTGTTCTATGTACAATCCGTGTTTTATTGATTGCATGTAATCTACTTTTTTGAGGTTGTGGATTTGGGGTTTTCATGAGCTGTGCGCCATAATCATCACAATGATGACACATCACGGCTTGAACTATCTTGCTTTGCATGTAATGAGTCTCTCTCATATATTAGTTTCACCGCATAAGTTGCATTAGTGAAATAAATGAACTTTGCACCATATTCTAATTATTCGAGTTTCACCTGTATATTCAGTTTTGGTGTTTAGCTTTATATTATATGTACTTTATGAAGTGACTCCGGACACCAGGAACCGGGCCCGACCGGCTGGCCGCGCCACAAGTCCCCTCTGTTGTCACTGTACACACGCAGAGCTGACACTCCAAACACGAGGCCGAGCGGGATGTTGTAGTAAACATGAACTTCTCCTCCCAACTCACAGCAAACAAGGTACAAGACATCCCGAGATAACTGCGCCATATACCATAGAGAGGTACACCCATCCCCAATAACCGTGCCTCATACCATAGAGAGGTACACCCATCCCCAATAACCGTGCCACATACCATAGAGAGGTACACCAGACATCCCCCGATATACCATAGAGAGGTACACCAGACATCCCCCGATAACCGCGCCATATACCATAGAGAGGTACACCCATCCCCAATAACCGTGCCACATACCATAGAGAGGTACACCCATCCCCAATAACCGCGCCATATACCATAGAGAGGTACACCCATCCCTCGATAACCGCGCCATATACCATAGAGAGGTACACCCATCCCTCGATAACCGCGCCATATACCATAGAGAGGTACACCCATCCCCAATAACCGCGCCATATACCATAGAGAGGTATATACAGTATACGATACAACTACAGAAATGGACTCCACAGTTCTGCACAGAATTCCAGGAAACACTCATTAGTCTCGCACCCCCGGAGGGCCGAATCTGACATGTGAGGAGATGGAGGACTAAAATCAGAATCATTTTCTAGTGTTGGATAGCACGGCGGGGAGGGGGGGTCACTTCTTCGAAGTGGTAATTGCCCTCTGAATGAGAATTTATTCTACTTCCTGTCCTAGACATGGTGGTCACTGGGACAGGAAAGATTAATTCTGCACAGCAATTTCCACTCACTTCCTGTTACAGTGATTGGGGTCACCAGGGCAGGAAGTGAGGAAATGTCCCCAATGGGATGAAGCCAATAATAATCCTTCTCCCCGAAGGCCGGAGTTCCACTATAGAAAGAAGCTGCAGTCCAGCCGTACAGACAGAACAGGAAGTCCAAGTGAGGACAGAACATGGAATACGAGAGGCACACACACAACACACGGACACACATGAAACTATTTCTGGGGTAATCAGACGGAACACACGTGACATGGAACCATTCCCTTTCCTCCTGTGAGAGATCAAACCGAGAACACGAAACACGACAATCGCGGTACATTCCATTATCGGGGGGGAGATGACCCCCCTATACACACACATCCTGTAATCCCTTCTGCCCGTCACCCTGCGATGGCAGCGGTCAGTTTCGGGGGTCACCTGTGTCATCGCCCGGCAGCCATATCACATTTACAGGTTTATAGAAGTCAAACCATTTACCATGCCACGTCAAAGCGGAATCCCAGATCGAAGATCGTGTAGCAGGTCCCTGGAAGAAACAAAACGCACATTAGAGACACAATTGTGCTTGCAATGCAGAAACAAACCTTCAATGCGTGGGGGAGGGGGTTATTATTCTTAAAGGAGCACTCCACCACCAGCGGAGAATGTAGAAGTGACCCGATGAGGAATATGAATGGTCACGATGTGACGTTATGGTTGTAGAAGTCGTCATCTCGTCTATAATGAGGTCCCGATGGATAGTCTCACTCCCGGGTTCGGTATATATGGATCTCGGGGTTCTTACAGCTTCTGGCAGCCATTTCTATGCACCCCGCAGTCCCGGTCTGTGTTCTTGTATCACAGTCCTCAGGCAGAGAGGCTCAGGAACGTTGCTCGGGGATATGACCAGAACCGCAGCTCAGCGTCATATATCCGACATCAATAATCACTTCTAATTAGGGACGCACCGATACAGCGGCTAAATGCCGAAAGCGCAATTTTCCTGCCGATACATCGGCGTGTCCCTGAATTCTTTCCTCCCCGCCGGGCGCTGCTGTGTGTCCCAGCCGGGAGGAGAGAAGGTGACAGCCGGCCAAGCGCTGCGGGAGGAGAGCGCTGTGAGTGGCCGGTGTCTCTTCTCCCGCACCGCTCAGCCCATCACAGTCCGGTAGAGCGGTGTGGGGGCGGGGACAGGCCGCGCTGTCACAGGAGGCGGAGCTTTCCTCCCCGCACCGCTCGCTCAGCTTCCTGTGACAGCGTGTCAGAGAGGAGAGCGGGTACAAGCGGTGATGTGATCAGTGATTGCTGAGTGTTTGTAGATAACGGAGGACAGAGTATGGTTACTATATCCTCATTTATGAATGAATAGGAAGTGATCTACATCACATCTACATCACTTCCTGTTCATTCATGATTGTAGTTATAGTAACCATACTCTGTCCTCATGTTATGAATGATCAGGAACACTCAGTATAGAGGATTCCTGATCATTGATAACAGGGGCTGCAGAAAAAGAGATCGAGGACCCTCTGCGCGTCTCCGAGGACCCTCTGCGCGTCTCCGAGGACCCTCTGCGCGTCTCCGAGGACCCTCTGCGCGTCTCCGAGGACCCTCTGCGCGTCTCCGAGGACCCTCTGCGCGTCTCCGAGGACCCTCTGCGCGTCTCAATCTCTTTTTCCATTTTAAAAAGGGAAATATCAGGGATCCGTTTAGACCCCCAATATTTCCCCAAACCACCTAAAAGTAAAAAATAAAAATATTTAATAAAAAATGGATTCATAAAATAAAATATTGTAAGAATTTAAATAAAAACATTTTCGGCTGGACAATTTTTTTTAAATTTCAGTTTCGTTTTGGTTTTTACATTACTATTTCGGCGCGCCTCTACTTCTAACAAAACATAAGAGGCGGCAAGAAAGAGACGAGGACGAGCAACGCGTTCAGTATAAGCGGCAGGAAGGTGGAGAGTCGTCACATGACAGAGGGCAGGCCGTGTGGTATCACTGTACTATGGATGGGGGACTCCGATGGAAGGGGATAACCCTAATCCCATCCAGACAAGTGCCCCCCCCCCACCCATCCTGACAAGT